TAACTTCTGAATGCTTCAAATCATTTTTGTATGCAAAAACTTTATTATAAGTCATTATCTTTAATTTGCTTTTTTTATTCAATATTGAATAAAAACGACCCTTTTTGCTTCGACGTTGAATAACTGGGTGAAAAAAAATCGTACGAAGCTTCATGAAAAAAGAAATTGAAGGTAAAGATTCACTCTTTCGAAAGATGTAAACCGCATTTGTGTACAATTTTTACTTCGCCGTGGAACTTCGCAAATTTCGTAAAAAATTTTGAGATCTGATGCATCTTCATTTATGTTTGTGTAACTTTATGAAATATGAGTAATACGGTTTTTTAAAGTACAGGTTTGGAAAGTAGAGATTTCAAGCTTTAGAATGCTTTTTTAAAAATCTCGATACGATTTTTAACAAAGTTATTCTATCTCGAAATTTACCTATTTTTGCAGGGTGGAACAAGTGATCCTTTAATTTTGTTGAGTAGTTTATATATGTATATATATGTATACATCACCCTAACAGAAATCCAATTTAATACTGAAAAATAGTAATATTAACCCTTACCGTACTAATATGGGTAACCAGTGACCAAGCAATTCCTGTTCGTGCAAGTTTCTCTGAGTTTTTCGGTAATTATAAATTATACTACACATTTTATTATTTTCCAAAATAAAAAGTCAATATTTATTCTAGAAAGTTGAAAGTGTGTTGATAAATTTTTAGACATTTTTTTTATTATTTTGAAGAGGTGAAAAAACGAAGAGATTTGAAGTGACCCTTGATGGTATGAATGAGGCACCAAATTGTAGATAGTATGGTAAGGGGAGGGTTAATTATTTATTTTAAGTATTAAAAGTATTGTCGTTCAGTGTTTAATAAGTAATAATTAATTATTATCTTTCAGGATTAAATTTATACATATTATAGAGGAAAGCTCCCTATTATGAGATAGGCGCCTAATATGAGATAGTGGCACTTCTGTTAAACTAATAAACGCTATCTATTGGCTCCACCATGAATTTATTGCTCTTGGATTGAAAACTATTTAGTAGAAAATTCATTATTAGATCATGCCTGTAGTTATTGTAAAAAAAGATTTTAGAATTTTGATATCTTCAAGTTTCATTGAGATAAGCCTTTAAATCTTGTTTATTATTTAATAAATAAATATTTGGTAATAAATTCTTCATGTAGTGATAGAGTAAGATCGTACTAATAGAAAAATACGGGATATGTTGAATTGTTTAATTACAGAAGTTAGATTTGATAATCATATAACCATAAGGCGTGGAAATCGTAATATGAGATACCCAGGGTATTTCTAATATGAAATAATCCATGCTCCTATATTACAGTGAAAATCGTTGCTAAAGAGTAAATGTTATTGTACTTTAATAAAAAGGACAACCGGAATGAACGTCGAGTGTCTATTTCTGCGATGGTTGATTCCAACTACCTGAAGACGAGTTCTGGGTATAATCTATCGCATGCTTATTTTTCATGCACCCTGGCTGTGTTTGTTTGCATTTTAGAAACATGAAATAAAGTTTTTTAGTTGCAATATTAATATATCTTGCGTTTTACTATCGATTTCTCGGGGCATCTCATATTAGGAGCACAATTTTTTGAATTTGTGATTTGCTCACTTTTTACATTTCGCTAATTTGAAAAAAAAATGGAATTTGAATTAAATTTTATATAACGTTATCTTAAAGCTTATTAAATTCCCTTCAAAATGACCTATTATTTTTTTAAGTTCTACCCATAGACTTCTAGCATTTATCCAAAATGAATTCGTATCTCATAATAGGGTCCTCTATATATAAGGATAGTTTAATGTAAAATAATAAAAATAATAAAAATAGAAAATGTGCACACGTAATTTTATATGAGGTATGTATTTCATCCGATCCATTTGACCTTCGACGAAGTGACGCCGGGAACTAACCCTTGAGAACAGACCTGTCTCAGCGCGGTCCGCACCTGAGCATAAAGGTCACCATCGTAGCGATAATGCGACCGGATGTAGTCGGCGATCTCTTCGGCGCTGGACGTGGACGGCTGGTCCACGTCGCGCTGCAGCAAGCGCATTGCTTCCATCACGCGCAGCGAGAACCTCAATGAAGTCTCTACGCCGCATTTGCACTGCCGGGGTATTTGTAGCGAAAGAAATTTTCTGTCTCTTGAGTCTTCAGTCTCCTTTGTTGTAATCAAATATACAGGGTGTTCAGCGTAACGATCCGCATGATTTTTTAGACACTTCCGACAATTAAAAAAAAGCTTGTAAAGTGATTATCCATCTATTTCATGCGGGCTACAACATGCGATAAAAAAATTTAAAAAAAAATTTTTTTTAATTAAAATGTCAAGGTATCTTGAATTTTTTAAATAGTACCATACAATTTTTTTCCATAATATTGTAGGAATCTTCAAGACGAATTCAACGCACTATCGAGATTGTAACTTTCATTGATGTTTTATTGATTTTATTACATAATATTTATCACAAATACTCATTAATAAAGGAATA